TAAGAAAAAGGTCCTATGCTCATGTATAAAATGGGAAAAGGACATGCACAATAGTTCATGGAAAACTCAATACAAGTAATTAATAAATCCGTGAAACGGTGTTCAACTTCCCTCATGTCCCTCCTTTTTACTTACCAGATTGGTACAAATCAGTCTGATGGCCCCAACTGTGGGAATTTTCTAGGGCTCAGCCACTCTCTACCTGTTGGGTGATCTCACGAAAGCCACAGCTATAACCCCGACCTATGGGCTCATGTTGCCCCATCTTTGTCTATGGCCTGACTTCTCCCCACCTTTTTTCTTACTTTTACATTTCTTGGGAAAAGAGTGTTAAGAAAATATTTACATAGGCTACCCCATAGTTGAACTGAAATTATAGGTAGGTGACTCTAGGACCCAGTTCCTCTTTTGCCCACCTTAGGGCATCTGCAGCTTTCTTCACAAACTTTCCAACCACCCTCACAAAGCACTGGCTCCCTGCAGCCAGCTAAAGAAACTAAGCTACATTCACATCCACCTTAGGGCAAACAGCAGCAGCAGCAGCAGCAGCAGCAGCAGCAGCAGCAGCAGCAGCAGCAGCAGCAGCAGCACTAAAAGAGGACCGGAAATTCACAGTTAATTCTGATATGCCTTAAACAGAGCATTGTTCTCACACAAGGAAGGTCAGAGGAAGAAGCTTGGTGGAACAGGAATGTGGACTCAATTGGATTCAACTGGACACTTCCTCTGAGGGTGTCTGCCAGTATCTGTGGCCTTGGAGACAGGGATTCGTTCAGCTGGCTGGTTGCAACGCTTCTGCCTCCCCTGTTATTATCCAGAATTTATGGTGCTCTCCTGGGCTCCAAAACGCCTTGTAAGAACCATTTACGATCATCACTTCCCACAGTGCCTTGGGAATACAGACTAATGGTTGTTATGTCTTATAGGAGGGAAACTGAGGCAAGGAGGAATGAGGGACTTCCCACATCAGCCAGCATCTAGGCACAGAACCAAAATACCTCATAGTCTACCACACAGAGAAAGGAGAAGAGGGGCAGAAAGGGGACAAGAAAGAAGAGGCAGAATTTACACAAATCCTTTTTTTTTTTGAGACAGGGTCTCATTCTGTCACCCAGGCTGGAATGCAGTGGCACAATCATGGCTCACTGCAGCCTTGATCTCTTGGGCTCAAGTGATTCTGTCACCTCAGTCTCCTGAGTAGCTGGGACCACAGGTGCACGTGGTCCATACCACGTGCACCATACCTAGCTAATTTTTTATTTTTTGTGGAGATGGAGACTCGCTATGTTGCTCAGGCTGGTTTCAAACTCCTGGCCTCAAGTGATCCTCCTGTTTTGGCTTCCCACAGTGCTGTGATTAAAGGTACGAGCCACCTCTCCTGGCTCAAAAATCATTTTTAATATGGAGCCGGTCTTTGGAAGTAAAAAACATATTTAAATCTACTGAACTTCCTCTATGAACATAGTTACTTACCCCATCTAGAATTATAAATCAGTACTTCTTTTTAGAAACAACACTTTAGAAAATAAAGCATATATTGAATGTCTACTGACCACAAAGCATGTCTACTAAAATAGCTAGAGATGTGAGCTTGCCTCATTGAGACATGAGCCTCCCAGGTTCCAGTCATGCTGGAACCCTGTTGGGGCTACCAACCAGTCAGTTTTCCCTCTGGCACTGGCTTCATGCTTCGGCAGAATGTTCCAGATTCTCCTCAGCTCCATTAAATGCCCGGGCAATGCATTCTGCTTGTCAGTGGAATTCAGCTGGTTACGTGGAGACCCATTCATGACTTCCTGACTGCCTGAAAGACAACTTGTGGGTAAGACCTTCCCTAAGACCCAAGAGCACGTCTTTACAAAGGGAAGGTCTTAGCAGGACAAAGGGAAGGTCCTCTGGCCGTTTAATATGATGACATCCCAGTCACAGAGAACTTTCTGAGCCTACTTTTTATGCTCTGTGAGTGTGCCCATGCACCCCCTCAGACCCAGATTCACATGTTCTAGCCTCGACCCTCATCAAAACTTACCTCCCCCTATAAACGAACCCTGAGGCCCCTGGACAACGTAGGGACAGGCACTCCCACTTCGGCCTGCCCTTCAGCACAGCACGTACCCCACACAGAAGTCACCTGCTGGTGTTTCTGTCCCCCCGTGGGCCTGGAGCTTCCTTTCTGGTCCCCAGCCCCCAGCTCCCAGCCTGGGCCTCTCTCCTGCACCTGGGTTATCGTGATTACTGTTTCCAGGAAGGGGATCAGCAGTCTGTCCAGGGACACTAACCTGCTACCTTAGGCCAGGGGATTCCAAGAAGCCTAGCCTGAGAGAAAGCTTTGGCATGTGATTTATTGTGCAGGTGTTTTCAGGAGAAACCGGTAAGGGAGTTGGGGAGGCAGGACGGGGGCAGCGGGAGGAGCTAGGAATGAGGTGGGTTCAGCTGGAGCCCAGCCACAGCTGATCCCTTGGGGAGCTCTGTGGTGTGAAGGGCCCCCAGAGTTGTCCTACTTGGAGGCGGGCAGGTGGCGCTTCTAGACCACTGCGTGTCCGTTACTGGCAAAGAGCCAGCCCCTAGGCATTTCCCTGCAAGAGCAATTCTCAGGAAACGTGTGCAGCTAAGACCCAGCACCGTCAACACGCACAGCATGCCACAGATTAAGGGGGCCTGGGTGGTACAGCAGCATCCATTACACCTGCTCCATATCAAGATTGAAGCAACTACTGGGTCTCTCACTGTCCCCCACTCACTCTCCGGTTGGGAGGAAACAGCTGCCCACTCAGGACCAGCCTGGTGCTGGAGCCTAGGCTGCAGGAACAGGGTCAGCATCGCCCAAGCTCTGGACCAGCTGAAGCTGCAGCAATTGCACAAAGCATCCTTTCCCTGCCTTCCCGCAGACCCCACTCGCAGGTGTTTCCAGCCTCCCACACGAGGCCTCCTCAAGAATAAATGCAGGGCTGGCCAAGCCTTTGAAATTCACAGGCTCAGCTTCCTGAGAGGAGAGCACACACCAAGTCCTCAAGACGCTCTCGGAGGTGGGAGAGGCATCTGGAGCTCCCAACAAAGACAGTAGAATCCCCTCTGCTGTTAGGTCTTGCTTCCTCCAAACGCTCCACGGTCAGGATCCCGGAGAATGTGCCACCTTTCCTTGGTCTCAGAGCATCCCCAGGACCCTGGCTCAACCTACATGGTTTCACTTCCAGCCTGGAGACCCAGCACCTCTCATTTATGAATTGGAAAGTCCTCCAAGGGAGGGGCAGCCCTGGCAGGAAAGTCCAGGGTGAGAGAGGGGAAGAGCCCCCTTTGGTGGTCACTTTTGCTTCTTGTTTTCTGTATTGTCTTCCTGGTTGTAGAGCAGGGGCCAGGCCCCAACCACCCCCCTCTCAGCTCCCAGTGGGGGTAAGGGAGGGAGAGCAACAGTTGTTCTATAGGATCCAGGCAGCCCCAGTCTCTGAGACAGGCTTGGGGAGGAGAGGGCTTTCCATGGAGAATTCCCGGGGTGGCAAACCCCACAGAGCCACCACCTGACCAGTGGGAGGGCTGGGCACTTGCCAAAGCCTTGACTGAAACCAAGGATGGGAGGCAGTGGGAAGAGGTGGCTTACAGACACCCGACATCGCAGGGATTCTGACTCTGGGTGCTCATTAAACTCCCAGAGCGGGGGCAGGGAGGGAGTAGAGAAAGGGGTTGCTTTAAAAATCCTGATGTCAGCGAGGGCATGGTGGCTCCTGCCTGTAATTGCAGCACTTCGGGAGACCATGGCACAAGGATGGCTTGGGTCCAGGAGTTCAAGATCAACCTGGGCAACATAGTGAGACCCCATCTCTACAAAAAATTAAAAAATAAAAAATTAGCCAGGCACGGTTAATGCCTGTGGTCCTAGCAACTCAGGAGGTGCACCCCTGTAGTCCTAGCTACTCAGGAGGCTGAAGTGGGAGGACCGCTTGAGCACAGGAGTTCGAGGTTGCAGTGGGCTATGACGGTACCACTGCACTCCAGTGTGGGTGATGGAGTGAACCCCTGTCTTTAAAAAATAAAATAAATTAAAATCCTGACATCCAGATTGCAGCCCAGATCAATTACATCAGACTCTAGGGGAGGGGCCCAGGCAGAAGCATTTTCAAAGCCTCCCCAGGTCATGCCAGTGTACATCCAGGGCTGAGCACCACTGTGGAACCTGTAGGAAAGAACTGTGTAGACTGAGGACATCACCATAAGTATTTCAAAGCAGCCCTTCAAGAAAGGAAGGGGTGGAATTTTCTAAAAACAAACTGAGTTGGGTATTTAGCACCGTCTCCCTGCTACTAATATTTCCAAGAAGAAAGGGGACAGTGTAGAGCGTCCTGCAGGGTCCATGTGTGCAGGCACTGAGCTGATGCAAAGGGCTCCTTCTTGCAAGCCAGGGCACCATGTCACAGAAGCCGGACCCCAGCCCCAGGCCCCAGGTCTGATGCAAAGGAAACGCTCACTGGGGGCCTATAGCTTCCCCTTTTGGGGCCTGTGCACGCCTCTTCTCTGAGCCCTGCACCTCCCTCTGAGGACACCCTGGATCTCCTGGGTTGGAGAAGAAAGTTGCTGGGCACAGTGCTTTCCACTACAGTGTTAAAGACCAACTGGCCAGGTCTCCTGAGGGAATCTGCTTTGTAACCAAGCAATGGCAGAGGAGATAGTGCTGATCCCTCTGCACTTCAGACCCCTCGTAGGGGGGCAGGAAGTGGTGTGGATGGCAAACAGGAAACCCCAGCCCCATTGCACCACATGAGGAAGGAGACTTGAGCTGCAGGCTGGGGCCCTGCCAAGACCTAGAGATGGTAAGAGATGCCAGATCATGCTTCCCAAACCCAAGCCTGTCCTGGGCATGGGCGAAATGCAGGCTGCCTCAGAAGGAAATGGCACACTCTGCCTTCTGCCTTCCTGCATTATGGAACAGAAGCCCATCACTGCTTGGACTCTTTTAACCCCTACACCAACCTCATTAAGAAAGAAACTTTATTATCCTCATTTTGCAGCTGAACAGTTGAGGCACAAAGAAGCTATGCCACTTGCCCCAAGACACACAGCTAGGAAGGGGCGGAGCTGAGGCTCAAATCCAGGGCGGTGCAGCTGCCAAGCGGAACCCAACAATAGACTACAACTTCTCTTGAGGTGGTAAGGAAGAAAGTGCTTTCAGCCAAAAATCAGTCAACCCAACTGTATTCTGGAGGAGTGGTTCTCCCACTTGAGTGTGTATTGGAATCCCTCTGAGGGCTTGTTAAAATACAGATTGCAGGTCCCTTTGTCCCAGTTTCTGATTCAGTAATTCTGGGGTGGGGTCTGAGAAGGTACAGTCCTAATAAGCACCCGGGGCTGCTGCTGCTGCTGCTGGTAGCTGGCTCTAGGTGCTTTATCTTAGTCCCTCCAAGAACCTCATGGGGAAGGCTTCACTTTAGCCATTTTACAGATGAGAAACAGAAGGTCCCAGAGGTTAGGTGGCTTGTCCCAGGTGGCAGAGCCGACACGAAGCCCAGTGCTCTCCTATGGCTCTCTGGCTGAGCACTAGATCTGAGAGGCTCACTATGGAGCAGCAGGAGCAGGTTGGCTCCAGTTACCAGCCCACAGCAGGCTGGGGGGTCCTGGGGATGGGAGGTGAGTGAGTGGCCAGCCTAGAGGACAAGCTGTGGAAAAAGCAGACCCTGCAGGGGCCAAGGAGAGAGGCCCAGAGCCACAGGTCGAGGACGTGGGTACTTGCAGTCACAGAGCCATCGAATCTCAGTCCCGTATCACACACTGGGTGGGACACTGAGGGGACAATGAACTACCCCTCCCACTCACAGACCCCACAGACCATCCCCACCCCATTCCCAGAAAAGCCTCGATGCTTGGTAAATGACAGGTACAGGCCCTTCCTGGCAAGCTACCCCACTCCCATCCCCGGACCTGCCCCTGCCTGGCCCACCGACACAGGAGGAACTGAGATGCACCAAGAGCCATGCTGGGGTTTCTTCACGCAGGTCAGCCTACGAAGACCCGGCTCTTCCACCACCAACTGCGGCCCAGCCCAGCCCTCCCTGCCCAAGCCTGGGTTCCCAGACGCGACTGCGGGAGATGGGAGGAAGCAGTCCTGGGCCCACCCAGACAATGGCCTCGCAGGCCAGAGAAGCAGCCACATGTTTACAGGGAAGCCCCACCGGCGTCCACAAGTGCCTGACCTTTAGGATGGATGTTGTAGAAGGAAACTCAGAGCTCTTAGCCTCTAATCAGAGAGCCAGGGCGCTGAAGCAGGACAAAAAAGGAAGCATAGAGGAAGCACAGACTCCAGAAAGAAGCAGCTGTGTGTGCGTGGGTGTGAGCATAGCTCCCGGTGTGTGAGTGAGAGTCCAGTGTGTGGATGGAGCGTATGGTTGGGGAGTGGTGTATCGCTGTGTATGTGTGTATGTGTGTGTCCACATGCATGGTGTGTGTGCTTGGTATGTGTAGAACTAGACTCTGGCTCAGAGAAACTAAAGACCTAGAATGCTAACCAGCCAAGACAGCCTCTTGTGGGTTCCAATTCAACCAAGTGACAAATTCCCTGTGGCTGTGGAACCCAAGGGGAGAGTGGGAAGTTGGCGGAGACAACACTGGCCCCAATAAAGCAAATAAGACGAGATACTCCCTGGCCTGCATTTCTCAAAGCCAAGCCAGTTTATAGGGTAGTTTTAATGTCTACCTGGGGAAGAGCAAGGTAAGCTTTCCTCCCATCCAGTAACTACGGGATTTAAGGGAGGCCACCCTGCAGAGAGAGCCCGAGGCCTGTGTCCCCAAGTGCTCCTGCTGGCCTATCTGAGGGTTCTTCTCCCAGCTTCGCAGAGAGAGAGACAGACTGATCCAAGCAGGTAAGGAGGGGCTGGCTCCGGGTCCCCTGTTTCCTACAAGTTCAGATTTCTTTGGTAGCCACACTTCCTGTTTACTGCGTGATTTCCAAGTCACAGGCCACTCAGACTCATCTCTGACTTCACATCCCCTTCCTCAAGGGAACCCCAGCATTCTTCCTTTTTTGGTGCTATAGGCTGAGACTCTGAGCTCTGTGTGCAGTGATCTTGGGGTTTCCTCTACTCGACACCTGGGGACAGGACTGAAAACCTAAAAGCTAAGATCGCTGGCCTCCACCCCCAGACCCCAGCAGGTTCCTTGGACTTGAAAAGCAGTGAGTGGGAAGAGCAAAGGAAGTGCTGGGTGTGTCCAGAGCCCTCCGGTGTGGTGGGGGCAGCAGTCACTGCGGCGCATCTGACATCCCCCCTCCTTTAACCTCGAGTTAACACACCCAGCAACATGTGTGGGGAAATTCCCCGCTCACAGCAAATCTCAAACCCCTCCTAGTGCCAGGAGAAATGGCACATCGGGGGGTTTCCAGACCATTTCCAGGGGAAGTTTGCCACAGTAGCACATTCACACCTTCCTCTGTCTACCCTGGGCACAGCTGACCAGCCCTAAAGGAAAGTCAGCCCCATGTAAAGCAGAACTGCTCCTCCACACGGCCGGCAGAGGCGGCTCTATCAAACCTCTGTACACCCCCACGACTGCCTAAGATTCAAAGGGCAGCTGCCCACTAGGCACGGCCAGGTGAAGAGACCGTGAGTGCTCTCCCAGGCTCACGCTCTTACCAACTCACTGGAGGAGCCGCGGGCACTTCAGGGAACTCACCTAACAAGGAACTCACAGCATTTGCCTCAGAGCAAATGTCCCAGAGAAAAGCCACCTGACCCACTCCCGTGACCCCTGAATACAGTCATGTGACCTGGTTTCCCAGTTCTGGGTCCCGCAGTTTCCTGAGCTGACCTGCGGGCACACTCTGCCTCACCAGCCCCCCACTCCATGGCACCATGGCCCCGACTGTACACAAAAGAGCCATCCTTGCCCCAAATGTCTGTGTGATCAGCTGTAAGGCCCTACATGGCACTTTAGGAAGGGGCACTGATTATCTGAGGCTACCACCCATCTCCCCAGAGTACCTGAGGCCTCGTGGACCCCACCAAAGCCCCCTGCATCCCATGCCATGCTATGGACAAAACATTCAACAGCCAGCCCTACAGCCGCTGGGATGGGTGTTTAACAGGGCAGGGGTTTGGCACACACAAAGGATGCTTGAAATAGAAAGGCAGAGACCCTCCTTCTCGAGCTTCAAGGAAGCTAGTCTCCACACAACTCCACCTCTGCCTGGTTTGAATCTCTCTCTCTCTGCATGGCAGCTGCTCCATCAAAGTCACGGCGAATCATGAGCCCACCCTTCCAAACCCATCACCACACAGAAAACCCTGAGATTCAGCAGCAGGGGGTCTGGGCCCCATGGGCCAGCAGCCAGCAGCCAGCAAGCCACGCTGTGGTCAGCTCCCAAGCCAGTGGTGCTGCACACCTGCACCCTGGCCACTTTCGTCCTGTGAGGCTGAGATGGAGGCAGCACCCTGACACTGCCCGGGCCGGGAAGGATAGTCAGGACCACATGACCCAGCTTGAGACGGAATCACCAGGGGCCAAATACCACAACTGCCTGCCAGGGCTTCCCTTTCCTTTCTATTACATAAGTAAAATAAACATTTTTTTGTTTTATTTTTAAAATATAGGTCAGGTTCCATGGCTCACACCTGTGATCCCAGCAATTTGGGAGGCCAAGACAGGAGCGTCGCTTGCATGCAGGAGTTCAAGACCAGCTCAGGCAACAAGGCAAAATCTTGTCTCTATAAAAAATAAAAAATTAGCTGGGTTTGGTGGCATGCACCTGTAGTCCCAGCTACTTGGGAGGCTGAGGTGAGGTGGGAGGATGACTTGAGCCCGGGAGGTGGAGGCTGCAGACAGCCATGACTGTACCAGTGTACTCTAGCAAGGGCAACAGAGTAAGACCCTGTCTCAAAAACAAAAAAGAAAAATATATATAGATAAATGAAAAGATTAATATCCACAAAAGGACAAATATTGTTTGATCCCATTTATATGAGGTAGCTAGAAGAGGCAAATTCATAAAGACAGTAAGTAGACTAGAAGCTACCAGGAGCTGGAAGGAGATAGGAATGAGGGGGTTATTGTTTAATGGGTACGGAGTTTCTGTTTGGAATGACAAAAAAGTTCTGGACGTGGATAACGGTGATGGGTTGTACAACATTGTGAATATAGTTAATGCCACTAATTTGTACACTTAGAAATGGTTAAAAGGGTAAATTTTATGGTATGCATATTTTACCACAAAAAAAATAAAAATAAACTATTACATATGAAAAAAGATGAAGATTGAAATCTCCCAAAACTCCACCACCCAGAGATAATCACTATTAACATTTTACCATACATCCTTCCAGATGCTAATATAAATGGGTGATACAGTTTGTAAAAATAGCACACAGTTTGGTAACCTGCTTCTTAAAAATATATCCTATTCCGGTGGCTCACACCTGTAATGCCAGCACTTTGGGAGACCAAGGCAGGTGGATCACCTGAGATCAGGAGTTCAAAACCAGCCTGGCCAACATGGTGAAATCCCATCTCTACTAAAAATACAAAAAATTAGCCGGGCGTGGTGGTGCACCTGTAATCCCAGCTACTCGGGAGGCTGAGGCAGGAGAATTGCTTGAACCTGGGAGGCGGAGATTGCAGTGAGCTGAGATCACACCATTGCACTCCAGCCTGGGCAACAAGAGTGAAACTTCGTCTCAAAAAATATATATATCATATTCTTCCATGTTAATAGCTACACACCGGCAGCCTATGTTTTTGTAGCCACATGGTATTCCAAAGTATAGATATGCCATGGTTAACTAATGTATGACTGTTGGGCATTTGGTCTCCATTTGTCACTATAGAGTGTTGTCATTATTATAAATAATGCTGCGAGGGACATCCCCATATACATACTTTTCTGCATTTATCCAATTACATCCCTAGGGGAAGAATTCCTAGGGGTGGAACTGCTGAGTCAGGGACTTGTTTGGGAGGGTTGTCAACAGAGCATTAAGAGTAAAATTACACCAAGATGTTGAATTTTGTCACAGAAAGTTCTCTTTCTCCACACAGACTTTTCTCCAGACCTCCTTCCAAAAAGAGCCAGATATTAAACATTTACCAGCACATCACTGGTCATAACCTAGGAATGTAAACCGTGAGCAGACTCCACTCGGGTGTCTATAATGTTGCATAGTGATTCAGAAAGGAAGGGACCGTCCATTCCGTAAGAAACCAGTCCCTCCCCCCCGACCTCTCCAGTCCTCCTCTGGAGACACACCATGCTGGAGCCCTGAGGTGAAACTGATATACAAGACAAGCAGGATTATACTGGGTTAATGTCCACTGAATTCCCAGCAGGAAGGACTCTAGGAAGGGCCAGTGCCGGGGGTCTCATGGTGGGTGCCACATATGTAGTCCACACAAAAGGTTTTTTGTCATTAAAGGTTTTTAAAGGTTTTGTTCTGGTATAGACAGAAGGACAAGGCGATGACTCTTCTGAAAGAGGTCAAGGGTTAGAAGGGACACGTGGAATCATTTAATCCCTTGCCTTGGAGATGGGGAAACTGAGAGTCAGAAAGTCTCACAGCATAAATATTTCAATAATCATTAGCCAGATGCAGTGGCTCATGCCTGTAATCACAGCATTTTGGGAGGCTGAGACAGGTGGGTCACTTGAGGTCAGGAGTTCAAGACCAGCCCGGCCAACATGGTGAAACCCCGTATCTACTAAAAATACAAAAATTAGCTGGGCGTGGTGGCATGCACCTGTAGTCCCAGCTACTTGGGAGGCTGAGGCAGGAGAATCGCTTGAACTCAGGATGTAGAGGTTGCAGTGAGCCAAGATCATGCCACTGCATTCCAGCCTGGGCAACAGAGTGAGACTCCATCTCAAAAAAACAATAATAATTATAATCATTAAATGTACCCCAGAAGTATCTCACATGCAGGTGAGGTTCAACTGGTTCAGGGCAGCGCTTGAACATATCCCATGTCTTGGATGCATAGTACAAATCTTATCCTCCCCTTCCCATGTACAGAATTGGAAATTGAAATCACTGGGGTCACATGCTGACTTAGTCATGGCCAGATGTGTGCTGGGGCCAGCTCCTACTGGCTCTCAGGTGCCAGTGGCGCACAACTCTTCCCAACTGAGTGTTCACTGACACCAGGTTGGTAGAGTGAAATCAGCCCTAGTGGGAATATTTATTTATATCACACAAATTGGAAAACACCACAAAGCAGGGCTTCCCCCAAAACCCTTACCAAGAGCCAGGTGTTAAATATTTACCAGCACATCACTGGTCACAACCTAGGAATGCAAACCATGTGCAGGTGACCTCAGCTTCCTCAACTAACCTGAGAGCAGCCTCTCTTTCCAAGCATTGTAACTCTCTATGTTCCACCAAAATACACACTCCCAAATCCATCATAGCCTGCTTCTAGCCGGCAAATGGTTTTCTACTCGCTTGCTATGTGCCAGGCTGAGCACATATGACAGCTCATTTGACCCTCACAATATTGCTGTGAGATAGTTATTATAATTTCCATCTTACAGTTGGGGAAACTGAGTCTTTTCTTTCTTTTCTTTTCTTTTTTTTTTTTTTTTTTGAGAGGAAGTTTTGTTCTTGTTGCCAAGGCTGGAGCACAATGGCAAGATCTCAGCTCACTGCAACCCCT